CGAGGCACCACAAGATCGGAAGAATGGGCTCCACTTGTACTCACCATCAAATTGGTACTAACTGATCAACACTAGGGTGCTCACATGGCAGCAATACTCTCCAGGGATTAGGGGGATGGGGGGGTAAACCCGCAACTAAAGGACACCGGGAGCACTGTAGAGGGGAAGGGCATGCCTTTAACCCTCGCTTGGGTGAGGCAAAGACATAAAGTGTAACCATAATGTTTGTACCCTCATAATACCCTGAAATAAAAAAAAAAAAAAAGCAGCACTGTAGGAAGCGTTTGCGGCTATTATTCTTCCCCTCACCTGCCCACTTGCCACAAGCCAAAAGACACTGTAAATCGCTACATAGTCCCTCAAGTTTCCTAACGTCCTCCGCGCTATCCTTAGCCCTAAGGGACATCTATCTGGTCCTTCCACCACCACCACCACCACCACCACCACCGGCAAAGCCTGAAGCAGTTTTCAGGTGGCGGCGCGGGGCGGGGCGGCTCTGTGACGTCACGCCGGGACCCTCCACCCAGGCGGTGGCGCGGGGCTGGGCGGCTCTGTGACGTCGCGCCCGCCCGCGGTGGAGGTCCCCAGGCAGCCAAGCCCGCGTCGGGGTTGCCAGGCGAAGGCGAAGCGCTAACAAAGCCCGGTCGCGCCCCGCCGCTGCCGCCCCTCCCAGCCGCTGTCGCCTTTCCCGCCAGCTGCTGCTGCTCTGCCTCCGCCCAGGGTCGGGGCACTGCACCTCTCCCCACACTTCCCGCCTGAGGCGCCAGGTGTCGTCTGAAACCCCACAGCCCGTTCGGGAAGAAACCTGAGGTAGCCAGCCCCGAGGGGAGGGGAGGGAGGGCAGCGCCCCGAGGGCTGCGCCCTGTCAGAGGGACGAGTCTTGCCCGACGGGCCCACCCGGATTCTGAGCCCCTCCGTGTCCACAGAGCAAGGGGAGGGCTCCGTGAACTTTAAGGGAATGCGATGGCAGGGCGGCGTGGGAATTGCTTTCTAGCCAAATTACGTGTGTATTTTGTACCCAGAACTACTATTACATGATTTCTTACCTAGAGGACAGTGATTTGGAAACACAACAGAATCTGAAATTGGAGACCGTCACTGAGAAGTCAAATCTCTGCTTTTCTGGATTTTTTTTTTAACATGGATATAAAAATATTTTTGGGGGATTGTCATGAGGACCAGTGTGCCAGACTGGCACTTTATAAACTGCTATCATTCGTTCATTTTTACAAGTGTCAAACACTGACTAAATTCCAAGCACTGGCTAAGCATTGGAATTCTACAGTGAGCAAAAACTGACCATTCTTGTGGGCAGGTGACTGGAGTTTACAGTCTATTGGGGGAGGCACATGTTAATTGAAGAATCACCCAAATGATGTAAAATTAGAGATGGGTAAGAGATGCTCTGAAAGAGTTTAATGGAACTAACAGGAAGGTAAGGGAAGGTTGAGCAGAGCTTTGAAGGAAGAATGAAGGAGGAGAGTGCATTCCAAGCAAGAGTAACCAAATGTCCTAAACCCACCACCTCCAATTCCAAACCCAACAAAGATGTACAGTTGCCTGGGGCCTGGTTGCAAGAGCTGTTCCAAGAGCTGTTCATAGAAACTGCCTCTGCAAGTCTGGTGTCTGGAGCCTTTCATTCATGTAACTGGAAACTTTCATTTATGTAACTGAAGCCCTGCTTAGTCCACACTGATAAAACCAAATGAGAAATTCCAGAAACAAGCCTAATAGTCTATATTTGATAAGACTTATACTCCAGCATTTAGCTGGTATGTGTTGGCCTGACATTCCACATTGCAAGGCATGTAGATTTCACTTAAGAGGAAATTTATTGAATTTTAAGAGTTGGGGGTGGGAGCGAGCCCTGTAATGTACAATTGAAGAAGGCCTGCCATACTGAGAGCTTTAAGAATGGAAAAGAGTTTTACAAGATGTAAGAATGGTGAAATGTTAGGATAGAAGGGACCTTTTCTCCACTTCTTTTATCCAATGTGAACAAATGTCCCAAACACCAAAATTTGATTATGTGTAATCCTAGTGTTTAAATGCCCAAAAGCAGAAAAGTTGGTCATTGATTGGTTCCTCTCCAACTCAAGGAGTTTGTGATGCCAAGTCTTTGTGACTCAAAGGTGCATGGAACTTCTGAGAGTAAATGGAAGGACCGGAGGAGAATTTTACCTGACCCTCCTCCAGTGTTCTCTATATCTGTAATACAACGGTACCACCACCATGCACCCAGTCATCCAAGCTTGAAAACTGATAGTCACTGTAGTTTCTCCTCTCTTCTTCCCTGCCTCTTCTTCCTCCAGTGGTTACCAAGTCCTGTAGATTCTATCTCCTAAATACCTGTCTCTCCTCTCCCTCCCTGTTGCAACTACTTTCCAAGGCAATGAAACTCTCGAGAGTTGTTGCCAAAAGTGATACCATGTTCTCCTAACCAGGCTCCCTGCCTGAAGCTTCGCCCCACTCTCTTCAGCCCATCCACACAGCTGTCAGTGTGTGTTTACGAGTCCAACAAAGAGAAAGAAATCGTATGTTAATTTTAACAAGGGAAGTTCAGAATAAAGTATTTTTAACAATAATGGGATTGGAGTAATGAACAATTGGCTAGTAAGATGGAAGGAGAGATCTAAAATATATAGGAATCACAGTTAAAAGAAGGAGCAACCACTACCCTTGAGATAGATCACTCAAGGAAGCAACCTCTCCCAGAGCTTGTTGCAGAGCATATGGCCACAGCTCACAGGAGGGCAGAGAAATTGCTGAGGATCCAGGCAGGCACAATTCACTCGCTGGGATGCCAGAGAAACCATTCACAAAAAAGTGACTCACTGGTAGCACTCTGCTACAAACCTTCCCAAGAGAGGTGCCAGGGGAAGCTGCTAGCAGTTGGGCACTGATAGTCGCTGGATACTGCAGCAGTTGGGCACTCAAGAGATCACATACTGCATGAACCAGATGCGGGAGAAGATGTACACTATAGGATCCCAGCACTGAAGAAACTGCAAGTTCCTACAGCCTAGCAAGAGGAGCACATCTCAAGAGAAACTCCTTCCTCCTCCAGTGTCCCCTCCAGTGCCCTGTACTGACAATGCTTATCATTATGACAGCTGGCAAAGGAAAAATATGTAAAGGACCTACTGCCATTTTTGCTGAGGAAGGAATACAGGGTGAATTTGGAGCTGAGAGACAGTAATTGATAACTGGCACATCAGGCTAACACCAAAATCTGACTGTGTGACTCTAGTGCTTGAATTTTCTAGTGACTCCCTATCACCTTCAAGAAAAGTTCATAAGTTCAAAAGCCAGGACCTTTTATATTCTGATCTTGGGCTGTATTTCCAGCCTTAAGCCCAACCACTCCCTCTGTGTTCACTCTGACTCTCCATAATTGCTCATAGTTCCCTAAACTCACCATGTTTCTGACACCTCCACACCTTGTCTAAGTCCTTACAGCCACATAGAATTCTCTCCTTACTTTCATCAGTAAACATACATTTATTGAGTACCTAGCCTGTACCTGGCACTGTTCCAGGGGCTGGGACTACAACAGTGAACAAACCAGGCTTCACCAAGTTTCAGTTCAACTATCATCACTCTTTGGAAAGTATTTGAAGACCTTCTTCCCCTACCTCCAGATACATCAGGTGGCCCATCTAGAGATCTATCTTCTGTTCTCCCATATCTAGTGTAGACTTCTTGACATTTATCATACCCTATTTTAATCACTGATTTTCCTATCAATCTCTTTGAGTAGCTTGTGAGTTCCACAAGGGAGGATATAGGACTGATTTCTTTATCCCAGTATTCAGCACAATTACAACAAAACACATAAGGTTTTATTGGATTAATGATTTACCCAGGATCACATAATTAGTCAAAGATAGGTCCAGGACCAGAATCCTGGACTCCTGCCGCACGGTCAAGTTCTCCTTCATCAGAGCTGTGGATGTTATGCCATGATTAGCTGTGAAGGACAGCAGCTCTGTTTGTGTTGGAAAAGATCAGTGCAACACCAAATATCTTCAGAAATGGTCATGGAAACCGGAGAGAAATGTGGCCCTGATTTTATATTGAAAACTATGGTGCATTCACTCCTCAAAGCTGTTGTTTGTATATTTTGAGTCCTGGAATCATAGGAATGCTGTAATGAAATCTGAAGTAGGGAGACAAGTAAAAGATGAAAATGGTGTGGGGTATTCTGACACTTCACTCTTAAAAGATGAAGACTTCCGTATACTTGTAAAACACAAGGCTAAGGTGGCCTGAGTGTGTACACTCTTAAAAGATAAAGACTTCCATATACTTGTAAAACACAAGGCTAAGGTGGCCCTGAGTGTGTACACCAGATCCCAAAATCAGGGGACCATATTGTGCAACATTAGAGAACACAGATAACATGCCAGTCTATAAACGAGCCATGTGTCCCTGGGAATGTGGACCCATGATGTGAACATGGGGAAAATCTTTGGAACATGAGCATGGGTAAGTTAAGATAAATCAAAAGAGGTATCTGTTCATTCATTAAACAACAAACATGTGGAACTCAGGACTTCCAAGAGGCAATACTAGCATGATATATAAGCAAATTTGGGGAATTTGCTAATAACAGGGCCAAAAACTCAAAAAAAGGACAAGG